CTTTTTTTTCAAATATATTTATGAGAATACCGTTTTTTTAAGCATTTGGTAATATTTCACGATTTCCACTTATTACACTTGTAAAAAGTTCAAGCAGCACGCGCCAGCAGTAACTGAAATGCTGAAAATCCATCGACAGCCCTGCTTGCGAGCAACTGATTGTAATTTTGGCTCTCTCGCATTTGTCAATACCAATTTACTATCGAAACTAATGAACAAATTACAAAGGCTTGGTTTTTTATCGCTGCAATCTCAGTAATTCACAAAATTTGCAGAGAGTGTTACAGCTCTCAGCTAAAGTTTTTCCACATTTCATCGGAAGATTCACTAGCAGAACTCATCACAAAGCCTCGGGGAGCCATCTTTCTGATATGTCCTCTCCTCTTTAAGCACTGCCTTTCCACCAATCTCAAATTTAAGAGATCCTGAAATCAGATTTTACACTGACAGCGTGGATGTTAGGGGTTCGTGTGCCCAAACGCAGTGTCACTTTTAAACTTGCAGCAACGCTTTTGCAAAGCATGCACCTCGCATCTTCCTTTGCTGTTCATTGTCATAGGCTCCAACACCGAACTGCGCTTTTACCACTTCCCAGCTCATAATCTTCAATTTTTGTATCAATACCTCATCATTCATCCATTTCGGCAACTTCAGATCATGTGCTTTCTGTAATTTTTCAAACGAAAATTTTCAGAGCAAAAAATTTAAACCAGTTTTTCAATTTTTGCCCACTTGAAAAATTTAAAAAAAGCGAAAAATATCCAAATTTTCAAATCAAAGAACAAAACAAACAAAATGCTTATAAACGATTGCATTTCGTCGTTTTCAAAAATATTTTTTTTCATACATGCACAAAACCTGTCATGCTTATTTTACTACCAGCAATATCAAGACTGTGCGAACAATTGATGTAAGAATCCGACTTTAGCGGTTTCAAGAGGATGCTTTCGTGTGATGAAATGCCAAAGTCGTAGCACATAGGAGAGAAGAAAAGCAGACTGGTTTTTCAGGGTCTCCATAATAATTCATTTTTTTTTTGATTTTTCAAAAGTAATATTAATTTTCCGGTTTTCAGGTAGCT